TGGGAGCAGAGTGCGATTTTCAGTGGCGTGAAGGATCCGTATTTCATCGAAGATCCAGAAGAGACTCCGATCAAATGGTTTGCGACTTACCAGGACAAGGACGATTGTACGAGCCAGTTACAAGAGTGTACACTCGTGCTCCCGGCAACGTCGTTGAAATTTTTGTCTGCGAATTTCGCTTGGTTGTTCCTCGCTTGGGCCCTGCCCTTTACCGCGGCACTGCTTGTCTTCTACAAGCTCTTCTGCCTGGCGCGGAGCGGAATCTGGAGCTTCGAGACCATTGCGTATCTGGAGTTCACGGAACATATGTATTCAAGCATGCAGTACAAGGTTATGAGTGCATTGATGGCAGTCAGCCCAGTAGGACTTATTCTGTTATGGGTCGCGCAAATAGTGATCTACCGGTTGCGCAACCAGTTGGATGCGTTTATTGCCAGCATTCCCGCACTCGGCGTGCTACTTATCGCAATCAAGACCATATGTATACCATGGGTACGCGGCCAGCGTTTCCAGGAACATGGCGACATTCACGAAGTCTTGAGTCTTCGAGTGAAACGCCCGATCATGCATATCAATCCAGCTAACGCCAGCGCGCACAACGCCATATGGTCGTTGAACATTATGCGGGCACTCCTGTTAGCGAAGTTGGGACGCTACGATGTGATGAAGGAGTATATGTTCGTTGATTGGGATGCGGACGAGGAAATGTCCGATGAGGAATGCAGGCGGCTGCTGAGTATCTGCGAGTCAGCACTTACCGAAGACGCAGTTGCACTTGGTGTTCTCTCAGACTCCGATAGTAGCAGTTGTGATTCCCTCCCTCAGTGACTTCAGTAGCACTGAGCAGGTTTGGCATGCTGCGTGGGACCACCCAGCTGCCTTCATTAATAAGACCATGCAGCCAATTGTTGTTTGTTCGCCACTGCTTTGTTTGTTGCAGTTGCGGGGTGCAACACTTTGCAGATCAAAACAACAACACCGACGACAACGACGACGACTACTACTACTACTACTACTACGACTACTACTACTACTACTACTACTACTACTACTACTACTACTACTACTACTACTACGACTACTACTACTACTACCACTACTACTACTACTACTACTACTACTACTACTACTACTACTACTACTACTACTACTACTACTACTACTACTACTACTACTACTACTACTACTACTACTACTACTACTACTACTACTACTACTACTACTACTACTACTACTACTACTACTACTACTGACTACTACTACTACTACTACTACTACTACTACTGTTACTTCTACTACTACTCACTACTACTACTACTACTACTACTACTACTACTACTACTACTACTACTATTACTACTACTACTACTACTACTACTACTACTACTACTACTACGACTACTGCTACTACTACTACGACTACTACGACGACGACGACGACTACTACGACTACTGCTACTACTATTACTATAAATAATAATAAGAATAATGATGATAATAATACGAATGCTACTACTACTACTACTACTACTACTACTACTACTACTACTACTACTACGACTACTACTACTACTGCTACTACTACGACTACTACTACTGAGACTACGACTAAGAGTCATAATAATACTACGAGTACGACTACGACTACGACTACGACTACTACTACTACTACTACTACTATTACTACTACTACTACTACTACTACTACTACTACTACTACTACGACTACTACGATTACGACTACTACTACTACTACTACTACTACTACTACTACTACGACTACTACTACTACTACTACTACGACTAGGACTAGGACTATGACTACTACTACGACGACTACGACTACGTTTACGACCACTACTACTATTACTACGACTACTACTACTACTACTACTACTACTACTGCTACGATTACCACTACTACGACCACTACGACTACTACTACTACTACTACTACTACTACTACTACTACTACGAC